AAAAAAAAATGGCCTTTTCTATCACGCACAACGAAACTCTGAGGTCCTCGCTATGGGTTCCTATACACCTCAATTCCGTAGCTAGTAATGAACGCGCTGAAACTTATCTTGCAAAATCTGTTTTTACTGACCATTCCTACCTTGTGCTTGTCACTAACTTACGGTATGTCTGGTTTGAGGAGTTATTTGCTGACGAGATAACTAAACGATTCCAGGAAAGCCTCACCAGTACTCGTATCTACTCGTATCTTGGCTTGTAAAAGTCTCATTATTGATAACTTACGTTTTGTATCCCCTTTTTTTTTTCGAACAAAGACTCACAAAGACTCGAAATACTTCCTCACTAAAAAATAGCTAAAATGGATCAGGTTTAAAATCACAGGATTTGACTAGTACATGCATAAACGAGAGAAAATTATAAAATTCGTGGGAATTACAATCACGTGATACACATGATACAAATGAGAGAGAAGTTACACAAAGTCGTACGATTTCTACTTACATTAAAAAATTTTAAGGTTCATGCAGAAAGTGTATAAAGCGTGTCAACACATGTTTAAAAACAAGTTTATTCTTTAATCATTGTTAGATAAGCAAGAAGCTTTTTTTTTTCTTAAAAAAAAAAAAATTTGTCACTTCTGTCACCTACTTGCGTTAGTTCTTTCTTTGGCAACAAATGGCACCAAAGTCTGTAACACGTAGATCGAATCCCGCGTTTCTCATGTATGTTACCTTAGCAGCGGCAGCAGTTGGTTTTTTTGCAGCATATATATGCCATAGAATACAAGTACAAAGACGTGAAACGAGAGACGACGAAGACGACAATGAAGAGACAAATGGAATGGTAACTGGACAAGATTCACAAGTGAATAAAATTAATCGAATTATATAGAATTATAAACTTTTTAATGGACTAACATTGAGCAAAAATTTCAGTCACGAGTGGAGACACGTCGAACAGGGACAAATCAAGAAAGAGATCAAAGGAATCTTGCCTCTAGGTTATTTAGGAGTGTGATTATTCCAAAAAAGAAAACCATTTCAATATCAATGAAGAATGTAAGTTGTTAACCATGATAATCACGTAAACTTTGTAAATTATACACGAATTTAATAACAAATTTAATAACAAATTAATAACCAATTTAATATATTAAGACATTGCTATGGAATCCATCATCAGACCCAGACAATCCAAACCACGCATTCTTCGAAAACATAATTCCTTTTCTTAACCAACTTGCACAATTATACGTGATTTATCTTGTTTGTCCGGTTTCAAGCATACAGGAAAAAGAGCAAATTCTCACACTATTTCGAAACGCACAACAATTTAGCAATAATGTTATTGATGAACGAAGGGTTTTGTTCTGTGAGACAGAAGAAGGAAAAATTCATATAATCAGACATCTTGAGACGAATGTTCACGTTGAAGGAGGAGTTAACGGAGAAGAATGCATAGAAATGGTTAGAGGCTTTGTAGGTAGTGTTATTTGGTTATTGCATGGAGATAATTGTAGTAGAAATGGGGCATGGACGGAAAATAGTGAGATGAAATCAAATGTTGACAGGAGTCAATGGACCAATGTCGAAGTTTGTCAGAACTTTTGGTCAAGCAGCCTTAGTCAAGAAATAAGGAATCGGTAAAAAATGACTTATATAGACTATAAGCGTTTTATTATCAGACATTATTGTAGGATGAAGCATTTAGTGACGTATATTTAGAAAATCCAAAGATGTTTATTCTTTTCATAAATTTAAAAAATGTATAAAAGGGTATTGAATGATATATAAAGTTAGGTGTTAATCATTTTTTACTTTGTGAATTAAAACAAGTTAATGAAATTTGAATTAAAACAAGTTATTGAAATTTTGAACTAAAACAAGTTAATAAAATTTTGAACTAAAGCAAGTTATATACTAAATATATACTTATATATGCTAAAATTTTGAACTAAAACAAGTTACTAAAATTTTGAATTAAACAAGTTATTAAAATTTTGAATTAAAACAAGTTATTAAAATTTTTGAATTATTGGCCATTTATATTTGCGACGTGCCCATGATAATGATGAACGCATTCACACATTCACACTAAATGAAATGCAATTTGCGGAGAAATTTGCATTAATAAAGATTTACGATTTAACGTTGAATTTATATTTTTATTAGTTTACATGCTAAGCAATATCGGTATATCTAGTGACGTAAGATGTATAATTAAGTACAATTTAGTTAAGAAGTATAGTTAAGAAGTATAGTTAAAAAAAAAAGTATAGTTAAAAAAAGTATAATTAAGAGAAGCATAATTAAGCATAATTAAGAGAAGTATAGAAAACTAAAAAAAAGTATACTGGTAGTTAAAAAAATACACAGTCCAGAAGCATATACAATTAAGAGATATAGTCAAAAAGTATAGAAAAGTATAGAATAAAAATTATAAATTATAGTTAGTTAGTAAATTATAGTTAGTAAATTATAGTTAGTAAATTATAGTTAGTAAATTATAGTTAGTAAATTATAGTTAG